AACCCCAAATAAATCTGTTTTACCCTGTATAAAGCTTATATGGGGTAAACTCATCAATTGTTCGCCCTCTATAACACTGATAGAAAGATATGCACAGTTGTTTGCCCCCCCCCAGGTATTAATACATACTTTGGGTTAAATAATAAGTAAAAAGTAATTTTATTAAATACAGAAAGTAGGATTTAAGTGGTTTCAAGTAGTAACCGACGGAACAAAGTGAATTACCAAGCAAAATAAAATATAACACGCAAGTCTATGCCTAATACAGCAAGAAAACTGAATACCGATAAAACCTCACCCTCAGAGGTGTTCCAGTAAGCTTCCTTTTACAGACTAGTCTCCTTCTAGTCTGGGTCCAGCAATCACTCACACCCCCTGTGGTTACTGTCCTTTGTTTCAGTTTCTTCCAGGTATCCTTTGGGGGTGGAGAGGCTATCTCTTGAGCCAGCTGAAGACAAAATGGAGGGGTCTCCCACGGGCTTAAATAGATGTTCTCTTGTGAGTGGAGACCCCCTCCTCTCTCCTATGCAAAGTCCAGCTCCAAGATGGAGTTTTGGAGTCACACGGGCAAGTCACATGTCCATGCACAACTCAGTTTTTACAGGCAGCAGCCATTGCCCACATGCTATCTTGAATGTCTCCAGGAAGACTTCTTATGTGGATTGGAGCCTTCCAAGAGCCATTGTTCGTTAAGTGTTTCTTGATTGGGTACTTAATTTGCACATTCCTTTCTCAAGAAGCTGGCCAAATGCCTTACTAAGGCTATTTAAAATCAAACAAGTATATAGCCAATATTCATAACTTTGAATACAACAACGACATATGCATACAAATAGGATGAATATATTCAGTAGATCATAATTTTTACATAGATATGTTACATGGCATATGTAGCATAAAACATATTCCAGTTATGTCATAGATACATTCATAAGCATATTTCCATAAAGCCTGATGGGGTGCACCGTCACACAGAGTGCATAGGTTTGTTAATGCATTTGCCTATGATACACTAAAGAGATTTTGGTGTGTAGGGCCATTGTGTGTGTGATGCAGTACTTACAATGTAAATATCAGTTGCATACATATCTGAACTAGCACCCCAGTAACCTTCCTATAAGTAACTTCATTTCTGACTTCCATTTTCTCCTCTGTTCAGTATGCCTTTAGGAGGAATATTTTTGAAATACTATGCACATTTACCTCATAACTGCATTTTCCTTTGGTATATATGGTTGAATCCTGTTAACCCTACAAATCATGAGTAGATTTAGGGCCATATACATGAATGAGAATGCATGTAAGAACTAGTGGCGCTCTGATTTTGTGAAGGCAGGAGTCCCACCTACCAACATTCAAATCACAGTCTGTTCAGAAGTTATGTACTCCTGTGGACATGGTATTTGTCCCACTGAAAACTAACTTGGAGAAACGGACACATGCACGTGTAATGTTTGTGGACCTGATTCTCCGCTTTCTTCTTGTGTAATCATTTATGCCTGTGCAAAGCCAATGTAAATTGCTACCACCATTCTGAGTGGACTACTCTGATTTGGCACTTTGCACTAGTATAACTGATGACACAAAATGGAGGGCAAAGGGGAATTGAACCCTATGTTTGCCCATATATATAAATGAGTGTAAATGATGTGCAAGGATTGTAGCAAGGCACTGCAATTCTGTCTCAGTCTCCCCGCTTTACTTTTTCTGATCTCCATGTGAATAAGCATATCTGATCAAAGGTCTCTTATGAAACACTGAGGGCCAAATCTCTTTCAGAAGAGGCTGTTTGAATATTTTTAGTTCTGTAATTTTTTCACACTAAAACTAAGCAGTTCACTTTTGTTTCCCTGTCTATCTAATACACACTCCCTCCCCACCCCACTTCAACATCAGATTTCTGCACACAGCATGTCTGAAGCAGGTGCAGCAGCAACTGTCTGATGCAAGTTTGTTTAATGTCATTCTCTGCAGGGCAATAATGTGAAACTGATCAGACTCAAGTCAGTTGCACTCTGGTTCAGGTGCCACAGGTGAACACATAGGTGTGTGAGCACGAGCAGCAGTGGCCCTATACACCTAAAAGTGGACACCTCAAAAAGTTTGAGAGTGAAGAAAAGCAACATTGGGCCCTTGCAATCAGGCACCAAATGTAACTGTACTGTCTCACCCTCTTTTTTGACAAACTCTGCTGGGCGTTAGGAGAATATTAGTCTGCTTAGTCAACATAGCCGTTCCTGCAGTGTCATTGTACCGAACTCCAACCTAACTTAATTGGAACTGCTGCTTTAACTTGGTGGAAAATCCCTTCTAATTATTAAACATAACCCTAAATTTCAGCACTGGTTACCAATTAACCAACCTCCTTTAACCAAACAGACTGGTTTCAAGGCTCTGCAGTCAATGAAATTAATGCAGAAAGGTGTCAAAAAGCCATTTTACATTACAGTATTTTGCCATTTCACTGTACCTAAATTGCAAATGATTGCTCGGTGGAAGAGGTGTGTGTGTGTGTGAGAGAGAATATACTGTGATGTCTTCATACTGTCTGAAAAAGATTTAAAGGTTAGTAAGAAATCTCCGTAACTGTACACATTCGAAGCTGTCAGAAGACATTTTTACAAGTACTGAATTGTTCTTGGTTTACAGGCTTAAAGATATTAAGGGTGGCATTAGTTAAACACTGATTTATGGTAAGACTTTGAATATCGAGATTTGTTACGCTAATACAACCATTTAATCAGTGCATACGAAGAGCGCAGCATTTTTGATCTTGATAAGAACAGCTACTAGGAAACCACAAGCTGCTGTATTCTTGTGAATTTGCAGCTCTTAATCCCGATGCAGGCTCGCTCTCTAGTTTCTATGGTAACTTGTGGATCTATATTCCAATCGCGTTCTCTCGGGCTTGCTGTCCCCAGCGTGAAAGCGAGCCAGCAACACAGTATGTGTGGATTTCTGGACGCTTTCCATTTTTGGAAATGTACGGGAATGGCATAAACTATTGCATACTGAAAGAGGCAGATTAGCTAGACTGAAAGGACAAATTTGAAAGCGGAAATTTGCATGTCGCACACAGACTGTTGTATTTGAATTTCTACAAAACCCTGGCTCGTCGTTACTCCTGAAATATAGACAATGTATTGTACATAATACTCGAGTGCTATTACTTTAGCGAGATCTTTGGCTTATGCTCACTAACTCTCACCGTCTAGTGTATTTATGTAATTCTTTGTATTACAAAGTGTCCATATCAGGAAAATGGGAACTGCATTACTTTGCTAGCTATGCGCGCCTCTCTAAACAGTGTGATCTGTTGATTTGTGTACGATGTGTTTGGAGTGGGGCTGTATATACATATAAGTAGAACCTTCTTACAGACGTCTTCCATTCAACTTGACAGTAAACTAATCAGAAGTTCCTAATAGCCACAGCTTGTACCTTGTGGTACCCAGAAACAATTCATTTTACTACGTTATAAAACAAGTCCCGCTGTATTAGAGTTCGCTAGAAGTAGGTCTCCTTGCATATACCCCTGCAGCAAACCTGCTAGTATAGTCTGGTGTACTCAGATATACTCCTTGCCTCCAAGTTTGATATATTAGAAGATAATATTTTGGTTTCCTGCCTTTTAAAGTTCTGGCATACCTGTCAATTCCACTTCGTGGCTATGAAGCAGTCAGTCCCCCAGAGGAGATGCCACAGCCACTATTTTAACATTTTGTTCAATGAAACGGGTCCAGATTTACGATGTCCGATTCTTCTTCCCTTTCACTAGATCGCAAGATATACTCATCAACGCTGTAGCTAATCCTATCCCGTTACTTGTATTTACAAACTGTCCTGACTTACTTTAAGGCGCAGAGGGCGTCAAAGTGCTGCAAATCAAAAGATCAGGTGAATAGGGGTTTTTTTTTTTGGGTAGCAATTTCATTGACATGTAGAGCCTTAATCAAATAAACAGCGGAGTTAACTGCAAATAAAGTTGTTCCCCTAAACTCTGTGTTTGGGGAAACACTGAAATTCCAGAATGCGTGTGGCATTCATTTTCGTGTGTGTTGTGTGTGTGTGTGTGTGTGTGGGGGGGGGTATGATCCGAGGGCAGGATTGCCCTACGGTCTATTCAAGCTCTGAACACGACAAGAACTGCAGTGAGGTCAGACCTTACAGAAACTTGCGATCTCCAGGGTAGCTCGGCAACTGCGGGAGCGATCGAGTCAAATCCTCTCCGTTCTCTTGAGAAACGAGTGGCCTTCGTGGGTTTTAAAGGGCAGACCTGGTCCTTAGCTTGTTAATGGAATACACGGCTGGTTAGAGCTCTCCTCATCTCCCCGTTATGCCCCTCACACCGGGCTTCTTTAATCTCCTCCAGCAAAGGTGACACTTGAGGCAGGCAGCCCAGCTTGCAACTGAACGGACCCCTCGCGGCTCCCAACACCACAATGCAGCCTCCCGCTAAGGTTTGCGAGCTCCGCCTAACTTTAGGAGGCCGCTGATCTGCGTGTACTCCTGTGAGCTGCTGGCCGGTCTGCCGCACAAGTGCAGTGTGTGGAAGGCTCTTTTGTTGATGTCTCCAGACGCAAATCCTGTGTTGGAAGTGGCGTGGGAGCTGCTGCTGGTAAGGAACAGCTTCGCCTCGCAAAGGGCACCTGCCTCCCTCCCTCCCTCTCTAGAGAGAGAGAGAGACGGGCTGTCAGAGATCTCTTTGGGCAGGATGAACGGTTCCTCGGATCCAAACAACCCACCGCCAGGATCCTTTCTGGGGTTCTATAATTGTACACGAAAAAGAGGGTTATGCACCTTCCCAACAAATCTTCCTCTACCGTGCAAGCCTGTATTTAAAACCTTGGGTCAGGGCGCCCCCTACGCGTGAGCGTGGGCAAGTACCTCGCCTGCCTACGAGCTTCTTAAATAAATAAGAGTGCGTGTGGCTTTTGAACTGCCCACAGACTGTCACAGAGAGAGAGAGGGGGGCGGGGTGGGGGAGAGAGAGAGAGAAATGCAGAGGCAGCAGCAGCAGTAGCAGCGGCGGCGGCATTGCTCCAACAAGCACTAGTCACTCCAGTCCCAGCAAGCGAGCAGGGGAGAGCCACACACCAACTCAGCCCAAGCCAAGCGGGCGCTAGGCTACCTAGGACTCTCCCTGTGACACCAGAGCACACAAACACACAAAGAGGGAGAGAGGAAAATATAAAAAAGGTAAGAAGCAGCGTCTCACTTATGCCATTTCCGTGGCAGACACCACGAGCTTTGCATTTGATTCTTTTCTGTCTAGATCTGTCTCAAATGTGGGGAAAGGATTAATTTTTTTTAAACAGCTCCAGTGGAGAAAGAATAGCAGATTTGGAGGTGCTTTAACACCCATCTCTCACCAGGCACGCTGTGAAGGGTTATATTCCTCGAAAGGGAGAGAACGTATGAATTCATGTGAGGCTCAAAAATGGATTAAAATCCAGTCCTTACATTTAAATGCCTGTTACCACGCTTTGGGGAGTGTGTGTGTGTGAGGGTGGGGGAACAGGGTGTTTGTAATACTGCGTAATTTTTAGTGGCTTGAATTTTAGTGGCTTGAAGGTTGCTTTAAACAACACATCTCCAAACCTACTCATGAAATGAAGCACATAGAGAAGAAAATGCATCCATGTTAAGAACATGGAGGGGAGGAGGCGAAGAGACACCATAGCGAGATAACATATAGCTGCTACAAGGGCAATGTCCTAGATTTGGAAGGATGGTTTTCTATTTTACCTGTGGGGCATTTTGGCTTTTGGAATAGGATGAGATAGGGAATGTGTTTGATTAAAATATAAATCTTGACGCAAACCCTCACTAACTGGGAGCTAGATCCTTTTAAATGGAAGCTCAGCCAGTTAACCTATTGTGGCTTTTAACAATGTGATTGTTCTTGATTAGGCAATAAAAGAGCTTGCTTATTGCTTTAACAATCACGGGTGTGCTTGAAAATGACAGCATACGCGGCAACAATTTTAATCCCCAGACTTGTCAATGCTTTATGCAAATTTTTGGAGGTTTAGCAGCGTTAGTTCTGTCTGGGCAGCAGCTAAAAAACCAGACGTCCCACCAGGGAAAAAAAAGAGCGAGAGAGAGAAAAAAAGGACCATCTCCTCTCCTAATGCAGCCTGTATTTCAGTAAATGTGCATGACTCCTAAACGCATTTTCCCCATGAATATGCATCGAATGCTTTCTCTCTACTCCAACAGATCTTTTTTTCCCAGTCAAAGCTACGTGTCCATGTAATTTTTTTTGCCTTATTTTCCTCCCTCCATCAACCCCTTTTGATGCAGGGAAGGATCACCTCACCACACACACAATATCTATTTACAATGAGAGACTCTCTCGCAACTAACTTCCAGATGTCTTTATTGTGTTTTAGTGACTAATACCAACACACACACACAATCCGTCCGCCACATCTGGTGGGTGTGAATAAGCCCCATGGTATTGGTTCTCTTTGCTAACAGAGCAATACTGCAGTGAAAATGAATGAAACTGTACTGTAATTACCTATTCCTTTGTCTTTGCCTCACGCATGCGCCGGAGAGCAGGGTGTGGAGAGAGGGACAAGTCAGAAAGATCTCTCCATCATTAATCACGCTCATATCAGAATCAATGGAACAAAGGCATTCAGAGATGTTGCAATATACACATGGAAGCCAGGATGTTTGTAGATTTAATCCCCATCACATTCCTCTCCCACGAGCTCAAATAATGTTTTAAAGAGCATAATATTTTGCTAGGATCTTAATTTTTTTTTATTGGAGAATTTAAAGGGGGAATAAATTGCACACCCCTCCAATTCCATGTAATTTTTTTATCCCGGTAACTACGCCATTGTTACACTAAGGAAAATTTTACTGGTTTATTTTTTAATGGTACTTAACCTATGTTTTGGGCGGGGGCAACCTTCTTGCCTCCCAAATTTTGATCAAGAAAAAGTGACCATGAAAAATGAGGTTGCGGGTTTTGCAGAATTCGCTATCATTGCAATGTAAGTCTTCTAGCAAAATGGCCTTTCGAGGTCTGTGCTGCAAATGGGGTAACCATGTTCGGCTGGCATGTCTCTCAATGTTCAGTTTCTTGTGGGAACTGCTGTCTGGACAGCTCGTAGACAAAGGGGTATTGTGTAGCAACACTAATGAGGCAGATCCATTTGTGAGTCCTCGTGGCTGAAGACGATTAAGTGGGTTTAATTTATCTACTGCAGTTAAAATCCACGTTAACGATCTTGTTTAAAAAAAAAAAGAAAAGGCCATGCTGTGGGGGAGGGGGACACTTGCTGTGACAGCTCCTACCAAGACTCCATCGAGAGGGAGACTCTCGTGGTTTTTAAGGCAGTCTCCTAAAGCACCTCCCTCTATTTTACTGAGATTTCCATGAGACATTTTCTCTCATTCAGATTGTCGCATCTTGGCAGCTGATCTGGTATTTCTCTTTCCACTCTCCTCCGAACACACTCTTGTCAAGGATTATGATGCAGGCTATGATTGTTTCCTGGTGGAAAACTCTTGGAGGTGGTGCAGATCTTGTAGGCTTTGTAAATTACGACTGTTTAGACGATGTGTCTACAGTTACAGAGCGAGTGGATCTGTATGATTAGCTTCTGCCAAAACGTGTTCTTTGTAGGCGACCCCCCCCCCAAAAGCCGCAGTCATTCACCAGACCGATCTTGGCTGTGGATTTTATTACCTCTCCTCAAACCTCACTTATGAGCATTGGCTGGAAATCTCACATTCCCAGGCCTTTTGTCCCCAATGGATGATTACCTCGTACTCTTTAATACTGTCATTAAGGGCACTTGGGGGGGGGGGGAAGCAGATGCACTGTCCATTATCAGAGCCTTTGAATTTGACTGGAGCCTGTGTACGCCTTGGAGTACAGACGCATCCCAGACACACTACCTGCGGGGCTGAACAGACTTCAGACACGCAGACGATTTTTAAGCACAACTGCTTCCCCCCTCCCACCTCCTCCAACAAAAGCCTCGCAGGAGAAGCAGCAGGAGGCTGGGGGCGTGGGTGGGGGGAGCTGTCAGTGAGGCTGCCGCGTCAGCTGCAGAGATGGAGTTTCCAGTAGAAGTACCTCTACCAGCAGCCTCTGTCAATTGGTTCTGGTGCTTAATATAGAGTGGGAGAAGGAGGGAGGAAAATACAACAATAATAATGAATTAATACAACTGGCTTTAAAAGGAGGTGGGAGTAGGGAGGGAGAAAAGGAACAAAGGTTCTTGCGTTTGCTGTCGCTCTATCGTTTCTTACAGGACAGGAACTTCCTATCAAGAAGATGCTTGATTTTATGATCTTCCTCCCTGCTGGATTAGTGAATGAGCAGTGTGTGTATGTAGGGGTTTCAGTTTCAGAGGGAGAATGTTAGCTACATTCCATGGTCTGGGGGAAAAAAAACAACCAAAAACACCCCATGCAGAGACAGGAAAATCATGGTGGTTCTTTCTCTTGGTGTGCCTTAATGTATAAAACAGCTGATTGTGTAATTCAGGGAATTTGTTAGTACATAGCTGCTGGAACTGCACACCACACAGCATTTTTGTATCTAACTGAACCCCTGAGAATATCATAATTGTATCCCATTAAAATAAAATCTAGGTTAAAACATGAGACTATTCAGTTCTGTTTTTTGTGTGCAGTAATTTTTCTGCCTTTGCTTGTTTTCCTATGGATTTAAACGTGTTTTGTTTAAACAGTGTGTCAGCAAGATAAGTTAAGTGATATGTTATCCCTGTTAACTATTTCTGAAATGAAGATTTCAGTTTTTATCCTCCCACATACCTTGAAAATGTAACCCTGAAATTACATAAGGAGCATGCACTCCTTATGAATTTTGAACCTTCCTAAATCTCCATGAAAATATTTGTGTATAATCACCTTTAAACATGAAGCCACTGGAATAAATTGTATTATCTAACTAATGCTTCATGTATTTGTCCTATCTTCCATTTGTGGATTTTCCCCTAATACAACTAGTCCTGAAAACCTGCAACAGAGTGTTCTGCATGCTGGACAACTTTTAGTCTGAAAAATACCATTCTGTGACTGTAAAACAGAGCCATTTTTTATTGGACACATCTTTACTGAAAACACCAGTATTACAAAAACCTTTCCTGCAGAACTTCCCCATCTCAACTTGTCTTTATCTCTTTAGCAAGATTACTTCCGGCTTAGTGGCTAAATCAGCTGATGAGACAGTTATCAACTATTTATACAATTAAGACTAACATACACTAATCAAACTTGCATTTCATAGGCCCAATATAGATATGTAGGATATCCTTTAATCAGTGTAGTTTCATTGCACTTTGGATGCTGAATCTTTTGATTTACCTAGAATATTTGTTCTTGTATCCAGTCTTATTACAGATGTATGAATTTATAGGCATTAATAAATATGAATTAGTAAATTAAATAATGTGTGAGAAGTAACATCTAAAAATGAACTGCAGCACCAAATGGCTTAGATTCTTTAATATACTGGAGACTACTCTGGTAACTGATGCAACGATCTTGGCTTTACTGGTCTTATCAGACAAAATTCCTTGAGATGTGCATAATGCTAGTTGCTCAGGTTTATTAGACATTAGAAACATCAGTGTTCATATTACATAATTAATCAGGAAAGCTATATTTTGAAGAAGAGTTAAGACAGGCTCCGAAATCCATATTCATTCTTGGGCATCCATTTGGCCTTGAGGAGCTGGATCTTGGTTTAGGTCTCTAGATACTACTGTAATTTCTTCTATACTTCCTAAATCTAAAGACTAGATCTTAGTTTCTCAAGCAGGAAAATGGGCAGTAGTAATTGTTCAGATACAAAGAAGTGATGACTACTTAGTTTTTTCAAAATCATTCTCTCTTCCCTTCCCTGCACAAAGAAGAGAGAGAGGAGGACCATAAAGGACCAAGACAGATCCAAAGTGTAGATGTGATGGAATAGTTTCTTCCTTGATCAGAGTTTGAGAAACAGAATACTAAGGGGGAGACTCTGACAAGGAATAAGCCAACAAATCAGTGTGAATAGGAGTGAGCCAACAACCAGAGAAGTCAAAGAAGTAATTCCTGAAAGCATTAAAGCCCTGAAAATAGAAACCATATGCAACATAATGGAAGCTTAATGAATTAGGAAATACTTTCAAGACAAAATATTTAAAAAGTTTCTTATGGAGAAT